CATTTTACATAGATTGCTCTCTACTACGCTTCCCCCAGGCCAAAGGATCAAAGGAACAAAAAAGTGGTTCTAAGTAAGCTCAATATATATACATATCCAAGAATTTGATGCATCTGACAATGTTATACATTGCACAAGTCCACCCAACTTATCAGCAGTGTATTTCTAGATAACATACAACAAACACCAAAGCCCTTTACTCTAGACCAAGAGCATAAAGTGTTTTTGGCTCTACAGAGCAGGTGCAACATTGAACTGAAAAACTCACAGACGAGGTAACTATTTGTTTTCCTCTCCTCTCTCAGGTTTCACATGGCAGCCAAATCAGTCCAACAGCAGCTGCAGTTCAGAGGTTCCATTCCTCTCTCCAGCCACTCAAGTCCATCCCTCCACGACTTACTCAGATCCTCACTCATCCGGATCAGCTTATTACATCTCCCTTTGCTTAATTTTTTTTCCTGCCTGTTGAGCAATATGAAGTAGGCTCACCAGGAGATCCCACAAACACCAGGACTGTAGCCTAAAAGGCTATGAGAACAAAAGCCAGGAGAATAAATTGAGACTGCCATGTTAGGAACAGTGGAATCATTGAACTAGCTGCACTACATAACAAATCTGCAATCTTTAATTAGTTGGAGATGCCTTCCATAAAAGCATCTCCAAAAAAGACCTCAGGCACCCCTTTACTTACTAGCCTATAGTACTTACATTCTGACTGAATCTGTAAATCTTCTGACTGCTATCCTCTGGGTCAGGCATCTCTCCATCACGACGAGCACTCATAAGAGCCACCAACTCTTTGGGAACAGATATCTGAAAGAAGGCATTGCGACCGTGAGGAACTCAGCTGGCATACAGTGTTATATAATATACTAGAAGCAGCTGGAGCAAAGAGAGTAGCCCAGATGTGTCCTATTGGAAAACCTGCCCCCTCAAATAGAAAATGTTGCAATACTGGTTGGCAATACTGAATTAACCAAAAGGACGACCTTCAACAAGTGTTCAAAGTTTCACTTTCTTTTGACTACTGACCATCACAGTGCACATCTCCCTTCTTGTTTCTTTAAAGCAACCAGATTATTTACACCAACACTACAAAGACACCCCAGCTATGCACCAGAACACTTTACTTAATGCAGACAGGAAAGCCATTTCAAGTTATTTTTTACTTTGCAGCACTTCTTGTTGTTTTGCTCTCAGATCTGCCAGATTTAAGATTTTTTTTTCTACTCCAACACTTTTTTCTCTTTTTAGAAATAAAGATACACGTGAATGATGAAAGAGATGATGTATATAAATAACATGGTAAAGCTAGAGAAGTGTCACAGTGAAAATACACAGTTTTTGCCTCTTACAGTAAGTTAAAAGTAAATATTCTCTGTTTTTATTTCAGGCCACTGATTTTTTTTTGGCAGCTACCACAAATAAGTACATAAAAATCACACACTGTGGTGTTTGGCTTTATTTAGACAAACTTGTCTTAGGTTCACCTACCTCAGCATAGTATGTTAGTTTCACAGCAGGTGTATCTTGACAAGGAAGAATGGCTCTGCAATGGTTAGCCTGGAGAAAAACAAACAAACAAAAAAAATCAGCTAAAATGTAACTATTTTTCCTGCACAAAGGACTGGAAATAAATCAAATTAATGTATTATATTAAAAATCTGTACAGCTTCTGCAGAGAATTAATTAACCACAAACCAATACTTGGTCATTTGTAGCCTACAGTGGTTTTCATAATTAAGGATTTTTTAAGGAAATAATGGTGGGTAAGACTTCATAACCACATGTGTTGGTTGTAAAGGACTGGGAAACCTGTTCTAAACGTTCCTATTTGCACAGAAGGCTTGGACCAGCTGACATCCAGGGGTCCCTTCCAACCCTACCAATCTGTGACTAGATGTTTTTCAACAAGAATGCTGGAGAGAATAAAGCAGTTCTGGACTTAGTAAACTGCAAACATATAATAAAATCCCAGCAATATGCTGACTGCACTGTTTCTGTTTATGGCCTTTGATACACACAGTTATAGGCTGCTGTACTTTCCCCTATTAGACCTATTCCCCTGCTTAGAAACTGGGGGAATTACAGAAATACATAACAAACAACTAGAGAACTTCTGTACAAAGAAACATCAATTAACCTGGCACTGGCTGAAGAGAAATGGGTGTTTCTTTCCGGAAGTTTGCTCTGGAGTAAACCACTGGAGAGCTGAAGACTTTGGAGAGCTTTCAAAGGAAATTTCAATAATTGCTTCTTGTCCCCTGTACAATAAAGAACACAGTCAGTTTTGACATGACTTGCAATCGCTTCTAAAATTCCCCTACAAAGCTTTCAGGAAAACAGTCTGCCACACTGTCTCAGAAGCACTGAGAAGAATAAGAACAAACAACTTTCCCTTTTCAATTATGACAGTGAAAGTCATTTATTTTAATGCCACAAGATGCTTCAATTCTCCTTTTCTATAGTTCATGGAGAATGAAGACTTCTTCTTTTGACTCCTTAAACCAGCTAAGTTTATAGTTTCCCCAAAACTATGTAATGCTGTACACATAAATACAAAAAAAACCTCAATGCAATAAGCAAACAAAAAAGCATAGAAGGCCCATATAAGAACGTACACACCATAATAATGAAGGATTTGTACATTCTTCAAATGCAACCCTTAAGAAGAAAGTTGTTACAATTAGTAATTACTGCACATACAAGTACTTGCACCTGTTACCTAAAAGTTCCAGGCTATACAAACTGCTCTTGGGAATTAACAAACTAAACCTATCTCAGCACAAAATCCAGGAAATCAGTGCTGTTGGACACTAGATAAGCTGACCAGGTACACATATCTAATTTATACCCAGCATTCCAAAGTACATATTTGAGAGCAAAAGAAAAAGCAATCTGTATTATCATAAGGCACATATGCTTGCTGAACAGTCAGGCTTTCAGTTGTAATTCTTCACTTTCCTATCATCACTTTATTTTGATTTCCAAGGAAGACTATGGCTAACACAAGATTATAAATGCTTACAAACAAGATTAGTCTCTATTTGTGACTTTCTTGTTGCTACAATGAAAAAAACAGCTGGATGTCAAACAAAAGAAACAACTCTACATCTCCACCGTCACCTATTTGCTCAAGAACTCAATTCTTTCATTTTGACATTGACTCATAAGCATTTCCTCAGAAGGGACAGATGCCTTATTGCATTCCTTTTTCTTCCACAATACTACAAATCAAAGACGAGTTCATAGAGACAGGAAGCATTTTGAATATGAAACAATAAGAAACAATTTACTGGACAATTTAATTCAAACAAGAGGACCTCTCCATAAGTCACAGCTTTGGGCTCTAGCAGGTGAGATGGTAAGGAGTTGTAAAGCCACAGCAAACTGCCAAAAACGTATTAACTTGGCAATGGCTTTTTATTTCAGGTTACTTTGAAGTAGATTACAGTTACAAGCCCCTCTTTTCAGAGTACTTGGGCTAGGTAACACAATAAAGCTTTTGATATTTGAGAACATATACCTAATCTAATCCCAGGTGTAACCTGTAGTTTTAAGGTAACGTGGGGTCAGTCTCTGTATAAAGGAAAGGAAAACAGTCTGTATTTCCGCAGGCTTCATCCTCAGCAACTCATCCAGAATGCAGACAGCTGAGCAAGGAGGACTCCTGCAGAAGAGAAGCGCTAAAACACTTCACCATCCCATCATTTGAAACCCTGGATGTGGGTACAAACTCCCAAAGGTTTGCCTTTCTACTGTAGGCCAAATATGAAACTCACCTACGAGATCACACAGCAATGAAACTCACCACTCTGACACGTCCCTTTGCAAGCTTTACCCAAAGACTCCACAAGCAGCAAAGCAGCTTACGCAGCACGTTTTGGAAACCATTTGGAAGAGCAGGCACAGGGCATACCTTCTCATGTCGAAGGGGAGAGTGATTTCCAGGGGGGTCCCCTTGAAGCTGTGCTTTTCTCCAAAAGCAAATTTTGCATCCTGTCCGTTTGCAGTCACTTTAAATACCTGGAGGTCTTTTGTATCCAAGACCTGGAAGGAAGTGAATAGTGTTAAGGACTGGCACGGCCTTCCTCATACCTTTGTACCTTGAACACGAGTCTGCATGAAGAGGGAAGCATCTACATTTCTCAGGTAGAAAAAGGGAGGCGAAGCAAGCAGCCGAGCGCTGGGAACTGGAATCTGAGGACAGCAGTACTGAAGTTAAAGGCTGGAGGGGAGTCTGCAAGGAAACCAAGCATACAAATCCCAGGAGACCCAAACCTCACTTTGTTTAATATATATAAAGCTCACGCGGCTTGCACTTGTAATCTCACAATCTGCGAAAGCAGCCGGCATAGTAAAAAGATGAGGAAAGAGCCGTAAGCGCGGCGTTCTAATGGCTTATTCCCGCTCCTTCGCCATTTTAAGGTGAAAACATCGCTTCCCCTCGGGGACCGCACGGAGGGAAGAGCAGGCAGAGCGGCGAGGCGGCGGCCGGGGCTGAGAAACGGAAGATCCGCAGGGCCCCGAGCTGACCCCGCGCCCCGAGCTGACCCCGCGCCCCCACGCCGGGCCCGCCCGCAGCGCGGCGGTGGTCGCTCCCGCCCGCCCTGCCGTTACCAGGCAACGCAGCGCATCCCGCTCGGCGCGCGCGGTGAAAGCCGCCGTGCCCCGCAGCGCGTGCGCGCCGAAATCCACGCGGCAGCGCAGGTGGAGGTGGCGCGTGAGGCAGCAGGAAGGCGACGCGAAGGAACTCGGGTCCGAAGCCGCCATCGCTCGCACGCGCTCTGCGCCCCGAGCGGCAGTCGCGGGCCATGCCGCCGTCACCGCCCCGCCCACCGAGGGCAGGGACGGGGCGGCGCGCGGGGCTCTGGGAAGCGTGGTTTTGCGTTCGGTCGGGGAGGCTTCGGCAGCGCGCGCGGAGAACCACAATTCCTATAGTGCATCGCGAGAAAAGAGGAAGGAGAACGGGGCGCGCCTGGAAACGTAATCGAACCAATGGGAGCAGGGCACAGCGCACGGGAAAGGGATGTAGTGCTCGCTGCGAAAGCATCTTTCGTACAGTTCCTCGTTAGTATAGTGGTAAGTATCCCCGCCTGTCACGCGGGAGACCGGGGTTCGATTCCCCGACGGGGAGGTACAAATTTTTTTCCCCTTCGATGTAAAAAGTAATTCTTTGCGAAATCAAGGCTGCGGCTGCTGAAAAAATAAAAGCCCCCTGAAATAGTACCACCATTTCAGGAAACGGATATGTACAGAAGAAAAATATTCCAGTCCTCTCTGCATACCTCTATCAGGACTGGATGGACTGCCTGATTTGTGGTGCAGCCTGCTTGGCGGCTTATCTGAACAAGCATGTGGGAAGGTACTTTTGTATTTAAACAGCTCAAACAGCTTTTGTAGGTGAAAGCCCTTCCCCTGAGCATGCATATAAATATTGAGTCAGCGGTGCTATAGTTGTATGTAAATAACTAATTAATAGTAAAGAGGATGGGCTTGAAAAATTACTAAGTTTTGCGTACAGGTACAGCGTAGATTGGTAGTGCTGTTTGGTGTGCTTGATTTGTGGGAAACCACCAAGCACCCAGGCTTGTGCAAACCTGAGATAAATAAGCAATGCCCCTCCTGAGTGTGTGATTATTGACCTATTGCACGTGAACAATGAGTCTGCTTTTTGGATATAAATGTGGTCAGAGTGAAAATTAGTTCTGACACAAGGTTTGGCAATGCAGGGTGATTGCTCCTGGCAGGACATTGCAGAAACCATGGGTGTGAAATGCAGGCTGCAGAGCATAACCCCCAAACTGTGGTGCACAGAAAGGCGAGGGCTGTGGGCCTACTGGAGCACCTCACAGACTCAGCTGGGTGCAGCCTTGAGAGGACGCTGCAATCAACATGCAAGGAAGAGGGGAGCATCTTCTCCAGGCACACAGGGGCTTTGCACAAACCTGCTTTAGAGCATCCAGGCAGACCGACTGAAATAAACCCAGCAGGAGAGGAAGGGGATCTCAGCAGGCCTATTGCTTGCGTGCATTGCAGAAGGAACAAAAACTGATCTCTGTTTTGCAATGACTGAATATTCTTCCATGCCCGCTTCCCTTTCTTAAGATCCACATGTATGTCATTGGAAGCTGAAAGAAAATGCTTATCTGTTTACTTCAAAGCTGAGAATGGACCATAAAATAAGATCTAAGAACCATTTAGTAGCTTGTATATGTTGGCATCAAATCAGGCAATTTCAGCTGTCATAAAGCAATAACGGATTAGAAGAGCAATTTCTTACAGACAGAAATATGCTGACAATGCTTTGCAGGCATAAAAAAGTCTTGCAAGCACTTCCAGACCTGCTTAGTCGGGGTTCCTGTGTTCATATTACACAGGGCACATGCAAAGCTACACAAGAGAGAAGCTGCTGTACAACTGCAGCTTCTATAGTCCTAGAGAGCCAGTCTCCTTGAAGTGTGGGAAAAGGTAAAAGGAAGGGCTCTGTGTGGGATTTAACAAGGCCGGCCCATTTTCACCTTACCAAACGTTCAGTGAGAGCCACGGTGTTGGTGTGACGGCTGTGGGGAAAGCTTGGCCAAACCAGCAAGATGTGAGCAGGCTGGGAAGCAAACCTTGCACCTTGCTGATAGATGGGACAGAGTAGTGGCACAGCAGTGCCTGGGGAGCTTCAGCTTCTGCACATTAGCTGCACCTGGTTGGAGCACCTTGTTGAGGCATGCTAAAACCCTGGGTGCTTGGAACTCTGAGTTTTCCATCCTCAGTGTGTTGCATCCCTGTGTATGTTTAAATACGTGCCTTGTATGTGTGCTGAACTCTGCCAAACTTTTCAATTAAGTTTTGTCAAGAAGACTTTTGGAAAGCAAAAAAAGTTGTTTGCAAATGTTGGAAACTGCTTTGTCATTACAATCATAGAATCATAGAATCACAGAATCATAGAATCAGAGAAAGCCCTGGGTTGAAAAGGACCACAATGATCATTGAGTTTCAACCCCCCTGCTATGTGCAGGGTTGCCAACCACCAGACCAGGCTGCCCACATCCAGCCTGGCCTTGAATGCCTCCAGGGATGGGGCATCCACAGCCTCCTTGGGCAACCTGTTCCAGTGCGTCACCACCCTCTGTGTGAAAAAATTCCTCCTAATATCTAACCTGAACCTTCCTTGACTCAGGTTAAAACCATTCCCCCTTGTCCTATCACTATCCACCCATGCAAACAGCCGTTCCCTTCACTTCACACTCCCTTCAAGTATTGGGAGGCCACAATGAGGTCTCCCCGGAGCCTTCTCTTCTCCAAGCTAAACAAGCCTAGTTCCCTCAATCTTTCTTCATAGGAGAGGTGCTCCAGCCCTCTGATCATTTCAGTGGCCCTCCTCTGGACACGTTCCAAGAGTTCCATGTCTTTCTTGTGCTGGGGGCCCCAGGCCTGGATGCAGTACTGCAGATGGGGCCTCACAAGAGCCAAGTAGAGGGGGACAGTCACCTCCCTCTCCCTGCTGGTTGCCCCTTTTGTAATGCAGCCCAGAACATGGTTGGTCTTCTGGGCTGCAGGCGCACACTGCTGGCTCATGTCCAGCTTCTTGTCTACCAGGACCCCGAAGTCCTTCTCCGCAGGGCTGCTCTCAAGGAGATCTTCCCCCAGATTGTAAAAATACCTGGGATTGCCCCAACCCAAGTGCAGCACCCTGCACTTGGCCTTATTGAATCTCATTAGGTTTTCATGGGCCCACTTCTCCAGCCTGTCCATGTTCCTCTGAATGGCTTCCCTTCCTTCCAATGTATTGACTGCACTGCTCAGTTTGGTGCCAACTGCAAACTTGCTCAGGGTGCACTCCATGCCATTGTCTGTGTCATTGATGAAGATGTTGAAGAGCACCGGTCCCAAGACCGACCCCTGAGGGACACCACTTGTGACTGGCCTCCACCCTGACACAAACCGTTGATCACAACCCTGTGGCTGCATCCAGCCAGCCAATTCCTAATCCATCAAACAGTCCATCCTTCAAATCCACACCTCTCCAATTTAGTAATGAGGAAACATGGGTTCATGAGAACTTGGGAGTTTTATGTTGTTGGTTTCTCCAAGGGACCTTTTAAGCTTGAAAATGAGAGTAATAAGTTCATGTTTTAAGCCAAGTTGAAAATAAGTTCTGGCAATTAATTGTTCTAAGAGACACATAAACATAATGAGCTGCCAAAAACATGCTAATTGCTTTGTCACTCCGAAAGAACCTAATCAATAAAGGGAGATCGGTTAAAGCAGAATAAAAAAGCATTTCTATAAATGCTCTGCGGGACTGATAGAAAGAACAGACCCAGGAAGACGTGCAACACACTGGGTACCGTTGTACTGTGTTGTATGGGTGTCAGTCAGGAAAGGTTTGTCTGTTGTTACCAAAACTTCTGAATTTTGCAATGGTCAAAGAGTTGTGGTTGTTCTGTATTTCTTCATATGTGTCAGTACTTTTAAAGCAAGAAACAAGTAACCCTGCTTGCTGTTTTTGATAAAATTATTTGGCTTTTATTTCTTTTGATTAAATAAAATGGTTGATAATCACAAGGACAGAAGGGATGATGGAAATGTCATGAAAGGCAGGAGTTTTTCTGTAGTAAATGCAGAACAAAAGGAATATTTGAAGGGCACTCCACCCTCTCTTAATATTATAAGATGTGCAGCAAAAGGGTTCCTCTGAGGCTGTAAAATTCAGTATTTTCAGAGTCTAATGGGTGCTGCAGCCTCCTTGAGGACAGAGTGCCCTATCTGCCCCAGACCAGCCCTATGATGGGGCTAGCTCTGGATCTGCTCCTGGGAAAACATCTGCATAAGGACAACAGCTGGTCTATGGTTGGACTGGATGATTCTGTGGGTCTTTTCCAACCTTAGTGATTCTATGATTCTATGATTCTACTGCCACTGCAACCATCTCTGCTTGCCTCACATGGGACTGTGGGGCTGCACCCATTTGTCTCTCTCCAATTTACAGGAGGGAGAAGAGGTTCTTTGTTGTGTGTAAACCTGGTGTGAGATTAAGCAACAAAGGTTCAAATGTTGGTTGGACCAGTTTATTACAAATCTTAATCAGGGAGATGGGGAAGGGAAGGATGGTGACTATTAGGAATTAGGGTGAAGGGGAAGGGAAGGAGAGCAATAGATAATCCGAGTCTGGGAGGAAGCAGCAGGACTCACGTTAGCAGGCCCAGGAGAGTCTGTCAGCATGCAGGCATTCTGTAGTGAGGGATCTGATGGCAGACACCTTTGTTCTTCTTCTTCAGCATGCAGGCATCACGTCAGGAGGAATCTGTTGTCAGAAACCTTTTGGGGAAGAGCAGCAATAGCATGGCCAGCCCCAGGCAGCAAGACGGTGCAGCACAGGGCAATTCCAGAAGGGAGAGAGGCAGGTCGCAAGGTTTCTCATGTCAGAAAACTTCTTCGTCATGAAGAATTTGTTTCCAGAAAACCTAATCTCATGGTTGTAGGTCCCCTTTTTATCCTCTTTCTTCTTCCAGGCATTCCTGGGTGCTGGGTAAGAGTCATGTGCAGTACCCCCTGAGAGGGCTATCTCCCTCAAGATAAGCCCACACAGAAAACCAGCCATTAATCTGCAGTTTATCTCTCTCTTATTGCTCCTGGCTTTATCCATCTGTGTCCCTCAGACAAAGCATTTTGCAACCCTTGCCCAGCACTTGTCCATCAGTATTCTCCAGACAAAGAATTTCTCAACCCTGGTCAAGGACTTGTTCATCTGTGTCCCCAGCAAGCTTTGAGGCAGTGGCATAAAATAATAATCTCTTAGACCATTGGTGACAGTGGCAGCAGGGCGTCCCCAGCCTCCAGGAGCAGCCATCTCCCACAGAGCGTGATGTGAGGTCTGCAAGCACAACGTGCTGGTGAGGAGTAGATGATCAAACCCTTTCATGTACGTTTTCCAGGTCTGGATCTCCAGGTGGTGCATGTTGCTGCAGCCCTGTTCAGATCAGCACAGCAACACTAATCGAAGCCAGGTGCAGTACTGCCATACCCACCAATCAAAAACCACCCAGGCCAACATCAGGCATTCAATCCAATGCATACTGAAGTTT